AATATTCATAGTGTAGTGGTTATACTAGATCACACTTACTAGACCGCTACAATCCTTCTGGTGTCCAGAGAGCAACTAGCCCTCGATAGCTTTTTACGCAGTCGAGCGGTGAGTCATTGAGGACTTATCTACCGTGGAGAAGTTATCTCAAGAGTTGGTATGTAGCCTGCTCTGAAGTCGTTGATGAACGTTCGCCCACCGCTATCGGAATTCACTTGTACAGCTCCACCTTTGCCTTGGGCCTAATTTTTCGGGTCCTGATAGCAGCTGAAGTAGCTAATATTGCAAGCACATACAAGGGATACTGGAATGGCCACTTCCGGTTTATTAGCTGTCGACAGCCAATCATACCAAGCCCCAAGTGGTGCACCATCCGAGGTTCGAACTTGCGACCTTTTGATCAGGGTCCCAAACATTGAACAACGAGCTCGTTGTCTTGCCTGTTTGGTTCGGGAGATATTGACACTCGATGAACGTTCACTAACCACTAGTATTTCTCACTTGTCCCATCCCCGAAGTGCTATAAATGTTTAAGTGAGATTCGATGAATTCAAATATATCCCGTAGGCTGTTTGTTGCTGTAATACAGATGAACATACGAGTCCCAGGAAGTAACTGAGAAAAAGAAGAAAATGTTACGTTGCTTGGCGCTATTTGAACCGAATCTAATTCAGCTTAACCCAATGTGGACAGTCTATCGCAGGGGGCTAAGTAAGTAACACCCTCGCAACTGCGATCTTCAGACCATGGTTACTTAGTAGAGAAGAAGTCGGTAGAGGCCAGAGTAGCATATTGTGTACACAGAGAAACGGAGAATAGGTGGGAGAAGTCTGACTTGGGAGCACACGACCAGCCAGGAGAGCCAGCCGGGTCCAAGTGCCAGTTTGACAGCAGTCAGGCCAGTGGACAGAGAAAACATTCATACGTGCAGGCTTGCCATTCGTCGCCGCCCAAAAAGGCATCTTTGCGGCAACTGTGATTGGCTGATCGCAGACGTCGAGAATCACAGTCGTGAGATTCTAGTGGAGTTCACTTCGACGCGAACTAGTCACTACGAGTCCTCCCAAGGCTACATGGTTTGCCTAAGATTCACGACCCAAACCTTCCAATACGGCCAGGTACTTGATCTATGCAGTTCACCCTATCATGCAATTATAGAGTGGCGGGCAGAAAAGCTGAAACCGATTTGGCACCAAATAGCACCACATAGCCTTAGAGACACAGTTGAATTCATCGAGCCTATAAGAAATGAAAACCTCAATGGGAAACCGATGTTGCCACTACTCACAACATCCACAGACTGTTTGTATTACAGTTTAAAGCAGGTAGACGGCTTTGTCTTGCTGAGCAAGGTCAAAGTAACGTCGAACATAGTGAGCAAGCTGAGTAATGCATACATTTTGTGTGTTTAAATGTCTACAAGTTGATGAATATAAAGTTCCTAGATAGAGGCCGCGTCTACAAACAGGACGGGTCACATTCCCATCGAGGGGAATGTCTCGTCAAACGGGGTTGTTTTTTTTTATTCAAAAGTGGCCTAGACTGGCATTCAGTAGACAAAAAAGTTACTTGTACAACTTAATTCAGTACCTGTACAGAGGAGGCTTTAATGGAGTTGCACAGAGAAAAGGGTCAAGGGGATTGAAAGGGCACGCAAAGGAACTGCCACTTGGACGGAGGTGAGAAGAAAATTGGGGTGCAGGTTTGTTCAAATAACCTGATATCACACAAGGGACAACTCAAGGAGTGGTTTAAAGTCATGAGGAGGCGGATAGCAGAACGCAATTGGAAGGAAGAAGGTAGATTTGAAAGTCTTCTGAAACGGAAGAAGGAAAGCTGTGGTACACTGCTATTTATAATGGGTCCCGGAGATTGGACGTCAGCTGTGTTTGACGGATCACTCCGGGGCCACAGTAGTGAGCCTCCAAGGTATGCTGGAACACAGCGGAATTATTATGCCGTCTTGTCCTTCACTGCATGCCCGTTCGCTTCTCCCTCTTCGCGAATGTCTTCAAGTCGACTTGTCGGACGCAGGAAGAGGCGAACAACCATTCGGATTATCAACTGGGAAGTCGGAAAAGTACATATTTCAAAGCAAATATTAATACCTACTCACAAATAGTTAATAGCAAGATATATTCAGTTGAAAACACTACATACCCAGCCCCATATGTGATGCATCATGACGAGTGCCAGGAGTAGAAGATTGAAAAACAGGTAGAACCTCGGAATCATGATGTCGCGTTTCAGGTATACACACCAGTTTGTGGCATGAAGCATTCGCAGTGGAAACAAATATATCCGCAGGAAGAACCTAAATGTGACGACAAAAATATTTAATGGAACGTTTCCGCGAAGGCCTTTAAGAACATGTTTGGCTTTTTATATGTAAAAAAAACTGACAAAAGATAAGATTTTGTCACGTGCGTGATTATCAGCCACTCACCAAGAACCCGCAAAACCGAGGAACAGGAAGGAAGACATGAATTCACAGAACGGATGCCTCTTATTTTCGCGTCCATTGGAGTATACCAGAAGCTTTCCTGTCTCCAAGTAGGCGTCGGAGACATCATGCAGTAGATACACAATGCACCCCACTTTCAGGTACCTAAAATGGGCAAAGCAATCCACATGAAGATAACATGCAAAACACTGCCGATACGAGGCATGTTCCTGGAAGCAGTTCAGAAGGACAAGATGCGATTAGGGAAACATGACACGTGGGCAACTCTCGTGCTCCTCACCGGGGTCATACGGGATATAATGAATGCTCGTTGGTCTGCGTCCATTGGACTTACTACCATTAGAGCCGTCGGTTCCCAACGGTCACATAACGTTCTTCTGAAGTTGAAAAAAATATCTGTCTACTTAACAAATGTCAGTAGCTAATATTTTTTGAACAATTACCTTGCCAGATATGAGAAACCGATTAGGAGGAGAGTTACGACATGATGGAACAGCATCATGGTTGAATCCTTCTTCTTAGTGTCCTGATACTGCACCATGTAGACATTGGCGAGGTAGTAACTGAACTGTATGCCGTAGAGGAGTTGGAGGTCAGCCGGCACTGGCCGTGAGAAATACAGGTCTGAAAAAGAAATGAGAAGCATAAAAAGTTGTAGAAGCGAAATCGACGAGCGTTAATTATAAATGTCCAAAAAACGCCTCGCTTGAGGAATAATTAAATGGGCCGTATAAAAAAGAAGCAAGCAAGGTTATTTTTGGCAAGCTGAAGCAACACATTTTAATTTTAGTACGTATTATCAAGTGAACTTAAGTAAACGGTTGCGTTCTAAGGCAGGTTTCAGCAGCACCTCTCGCCTCCTCTTCATAACCAAATAACGAAGCTGTACATATTCGGCCTGAATTCTTCACCCAAC